TCATGAACTGTCTACCTGCGCATGCTCGGAAGTGGGCTACTTCTAGGAAAATCCGACTTTCAGATTAATGGTGTTTTCAAAATGTAGGCCTTACATTCCCATAGGGATTCTATAGAAATAATGGGAGGGTGTGTGTATGGGGAGGGGGGGGGGTTCAGACTTATATGATGGTGTGCTACCTGTTAGGGGTGGGTTAAAGAAATGTGACTCAGCATTTATGGAGTACCGCTTAAAAAAATAATAAAACATTTTTAAAATAAACTTTATAATAAAAAAGCCCTTGACGTTTACATGCACTAAAAACGCACTAAAAAATAAAATAGGGTTTCTACACTATCATGGCGTCATTTAATAAACGATCCCTTTTCGGTTTAGTTATAAGCTAGCGGACGAACTTTGCTTCGTCTATACGTACACTCTAACACGTGTTAATTATTTACACAAGTTGCAAGTAAATTATTGATCCGCGGATAATTTTATTGTAATTAATTTTTTAAACTTTAGATACTTAAAAATTAAGTAGAAAAAAAAAAGTTGTTTTTTTAATGGCCAAGCCTTGATAAGAAGAGCCGGATTTAGTCATTTAAAAGAGCCGCGTGTGGCTCCGGGGGGGGGGGGTTGTTGACCCCTGGTTTATGACATGGCAATAATTAATTGTAAAACTAGGCGCAACTTACCGGAGAGGGAAGAATCGTGTTAATTTTCAGAAACTCCACTTTACCACAGGTGCAATTTTGTTTTAATTCAATGGAAATTCCTCCCGTCTAAAAATAAATCCAGACTGCATAATATAACAATGCGGCATGTATCCGGTTGGCATTATAGTTTTTTTTTTTAATTATTCGTACCGTGGGATAAACTGAATGCTGTAACTAGAAATTCAGGGTCTGATGAGTGGGTTTTTTTTTATGTTTAATAGCGACGACAGCCTACCCCCCCTTCCATACTGACAGACAATAGACCACCCTCGGACCGCTCTCTGCAGACGACATTGATCGAACAGAGAGGGCGAGTAACGCGAGGGGTCCCAGCGCATGTTGTACGCGAGATTTGAATATTTTAGGCGTGTGATGGCGTAATGGGGGGGGGGGGGGCTGCCGATTTAGTTGCAGGGATGGTGTCGAGTCCAGATGTGGATGACCCAGTGGCGTAGCCAGGATCGTCTCAAGGGGGGGGGGTCCAATTTTTACCCGGGGACAAACTTTCGATTTGCACCCCTTCCCTCAAACTTTCGATTTGCACCCCACCCTCAAACTTTCGATTTGCATCCCCCTCATACTTTTTATATATATACCGAGGGGTCTATGGGGGGGGGTTATGATCCCCCTAGCCCCCCTGCCTACGCCACTGGGGTGACCTAAACGAAAGAACGAAGCTGATTGGATGATTGTCAGCCTGGCTATTGACGATGACCCGCTGGGGGGGGGGGGGGGGGCTGGGCAGTGTAGAATTTTCGTCTACAATTAAAAACACCTTTTTATAAAATTTTAATGGACTGCGTGGTTTGATGGTAAAGCACTAATTTAATTAAAAGTATCGAATTTAATTTTTTTTAAATCCCGAACTTGATTCCATAGAAGGTCTTTGAGTACACCCAGCTTCGTAGCTACCTCCTCACGTTAAGCCATAAGAGCACTTAAGGCATACAAGTGACCACTGTATCGCATTTGTATTCGGGTATCGCTGAAACAAATACAATCTACTCTATTGGTGGATTGATGTGTATAGATCTACTATTGCTATACTCGATGAGGACGGTATCGAAACTTTTTTCCCCGTGCTTTCCAATAAACACCTTGAAGAGACATGATCCTCCTACACACAATACAGTTATTTGCAATACACATAATGAACTATTCAAGCCTTCTAGTTGATGTCCGCACAAAAAAAGCAGTGCTTTATCTCCTCTGACTGGATACAGAGACGTAGCGAAGGAGGGGCGGGTGAGTACATAGGTCCCCGGGCGTCGACCCTAGGGGCGCCAAAATGGGTTGAAAAAAAATTAAAAGCTCATTTTAGCTGCAGATTTGAATTATAAACATAAAAAATATATTGGGGGGGGGGGCAAAATTGAAGGTTTGTCCCCGGGCGCCGGGAGGGGTCGCTACGCCTCTGACTGGATATTGACCAACCCTCCTTTACAGGGGTGGACTGGCTGTGTCAAAAAGGCCCGGAAAATTTTAACACCCCCCCCCCCCACAACCCCAGATTGAAATTTTCATTGTTGATTTTCTTCTCCATCAAAGCCTGAATTTTACGCCTTGATATGAAGAAATAGAAATGGTAAAATGGAGAAATACTAACAAAATTATTTTTTTTAAATCAAAATCAAGGATAAAACTATCGCAGAGTCATTCCTATGGTCCTGCTGGAATTTCGTCCTGGGGGCTCACGTGGATTTTTTCTTTGCGGCTCTGCGGGATTTTTTCTTCGGCTGGCCAGCCCACCCCTAGTCCATTATATTCCTGTCTACTTCGTCACTCTGTACTCGCCGCGTCATACACACACTACACACATTCTATCAAATAACAAAACAATAGCAAATACTCTCTACCGTTAAAACAAACTAGCTCTAAAACGTCCCACATTAGTTGTCTGTCTAACTTTATCGTTAAACCTGTCAAATAAAAATCTATCTGCGCCACAACACTCAAGAATGGACTGTGTTGCCGGCCGACCGGGAAATAACGGTGTTGTGATAAGCGTATTTGGTGCTTTGATGATCTTTTTTTAAAATATAATTTGCGCAATTACAAATTTCCTTTTTTTCTACGTGCCTATTGACAGTCTAGGCTGAAAAAACTTAAAAGGAAAATTTTAAAATCGAAATGTCATTGCATTGTCTCGGTCGTATGCTAGTCAATGGGTGGATAGGTTGTATGCTGTTCATTGGGCCGATAGGTTGTATGGTGTACATTGGGTCGATAGGTTGTATGGTGTACATCAGTGGCGTTGAGAGGGGGGGGTGCGGACCGCACCGGGTGACACCATTTAGGGGGGTGACACCAAGGCAAAAAATAGCAAAATATATAGAGAAAAATTATAATTCTACTTAATTAAGTGCTTAATTCGAGTGTTAAAAAGTCTTCCAGAGCAAATTTGACAAATCCCGACAAGGGTGGAGGGGGGGGGGGGGGGAATGTGCAAATCGAAAGTTTGAAGGGGGGGGTGCGAATCAAAAATTGAAAGTTTGTCCCCGGGCGCCGGGAAGGGTCGCTACGCCTCTGGGGGGTGACACCATTAAGTGCCGCACCTGGTGACACCCGACCTCGCTACGCCACTGGTGTACATTGGGCCGATAGGTTGTATGGTGTACATTGGGCCGATAGGTTGTATGGTTTACATTGGGCCGATAGGTTGTATGGTATACGTTGGGCATATAGGTTGTATGGTATACATTGGGCCGATAGGTTGTATGGTATACATTGGGCTGATAGGTTGTATGGTATACATTGGGCCGATATAAGTTGGAAGAAAGAAAGCCAGCACATTAGGTAGTTAGATAAAGTCAAAATCAATCAGTTTAAAATTAGGTCCAAACATTTCGCTCAGAAGCAGTGGTCAAAAACTTAGTCAAGACTTTAATTAATTAATTAAGACATCCATAAAGCCATTAAACGAAGCCAAGATATAAAGTCATTACATGAAGACAAGACACAAAGTCATTACAGGAAGACAAGACACAAAGTCATTACACGAAGACAAGACACAAAGTCATTACATGAAGACAAGACACATTACACGCAGACCAGACATAAAGTCATTACACGAAGCCAAGTCATATAGTCAAGAAAACTAGCCAGGATAGCGAACTAGGAAACTAAATAAGAACGACAACTCAGCCCACTAAAATAAAACAAAATCCTAACAGATACGATTGAGATAAAAATCCCAATAACGCCAAAACATTATCATTACGCATCTTGCCTAAAGGATGTAGCTGTTGGTGTTGGGTTTGTTTTGTTTTGTTTATTCCATTCTGTGATGTTGTATAAACCGCTCAACGATAGGACAGAATAAGGCGAAACATTTAAAATGCTAGCGTCAGTCATGCAGAAATATCTGCTTAGTTCAGATGCAAGCGGGTGATTACACACACATACACACGCTCAGTCACAAAGAAACACACACAAACACACACACATACACACGCTCAGACACAAAGAAACAGACATACACACACATACACACGCTTATGCACAAAGAAACACACATACACCAAGATAAAATAAGAGAAAAATTGGATAATGTTAACAGTTATCTTTTATATACGTGCTTTTAAATACATTAATTTAATAGGGCCTGTATATTAGTTTCAGTATGCGTGTATACATTTGACTATATAACGCATGTGTATATTTATACTTTATAAATGTTTAGTATATGTAACTGGCGCACTTGTATTCCTCACTCACCACGCCTCTTTGAGTGTCTAGTCGACTCATTTCTTTCCTATTGTCCACTTTCTATTGTCCAAATGCCAATGGTTTTTCTCATATACGTTTTTAAACATTTTTACGAGTAATATTACATCTGATCAAGAATTAATTTAAATCCCAATAGAATGGGCAACTATATTTGTGTTACCTTTTCTTGTTGTTTTGAACCCCCTCCCCTAATGTAATATATATATATATATATATAATATATATATATATATATATATATATATATATATATATATATATCTATATATATATATATATTATATATATATATATATTATAGTTATATATAGATCTATATATGCCAGCCCTAGAAATCTATTTTCAATTTCAAGTTACATACTGATTTTCATATATAAACGCATGTGGGTTTTTTTAGTGTATAGATTTGAATACATTATTATAATTATAATACAGAACCAAGAGCTAGTATGCACACACACACATAAAATGTAAAACTACTAGTACTACTACCACATTACCTAATTCATAAAACTTGTCTTACAAAAAACTTTGAAGAATAAAATCTAACGTAAATTCATAAAATTCTCTTACCATAATTAGCATATTGTCCTATTATGAAATAACAATTAGGGCCAAACTTTATAATATAAAAATTCCTCACCTGTAATCCCAACAGTAAGTTTTGTGTTGTTGTTTTTTAAACAATCGCGCCGCTTGTTTGAAATTACGACATGGTCTTGGTCACCACTCGCGGCGAAACCAACACAAACGCTACTCTGGTGTAGCCTCAGTTTGTAGGTAAGCTGGCGGTGGCGTCCCTGTTTTGACGCGACCGAACGACGCGTCCACTGGCCTTGTCGTGAGACGAGTTACGGCGAGATTTATGAAATGGGCTGGGATGGGTGTTCGTTATTTTAATGGATTCGGGGCTTTGGGCCTGTGTTGTCTATGCTGAAGCCTGTTTTTTTTGTGTTTTTTTTTAATGAGAGAAAAAGACAAAATTTTAAAACGTAGCCACATAGACAATGGCTTAGATAACTTGTGTGTGTGTGGGGGGGGGGGGGGGGGGGGGGGGGGTAGGAATCCCTCCCCCATGGACCCCAACGGGCCCAACCCCCACAGGTATTGGCTTGTGCCGGATCCAGGACAGAGGCGTAGCTTAGGGAAAAGAGGCTGGGGCGACGACCGCCGTAAGGAGGTTGCCTAATGGGGTAGGAATAAAATTATAAAGTTCATTGTTTAGCTGCATTACTCAATTATACAGTCCGTGGCGTAGCGAGGTCGGGTGTCACCCGGTGCGACACTTAATGTGTCACCCCCCAGAGGCGTAGCGACCCTTCCCGGGGACAAACTTTCAAATTTTCGATTTGCACCCCCCCCCCCCTTCAAACTTTCGATTTGCACCCCCCCCCCCCCCTCATGTTTTCGATTTGCACCCCCCTCAAACTTTCGATTTGCATCCCCCCTCAAGTTTTTCTCTATATATTTTGCTATTTTTTGCCTTGGTGTCACCCCCCTAAAGGGTGTCACCCGATGCGGTCCGCACCCCCTCCCCTCGCTACGCCTCTGAATACAGACTAAGTTAAGAAAATCGACTGCTTCTTTGGCTTCACATATTGATTTAACCGTTTTCTGTTTTTCAACATAGAGGACATCGAGATTCGCCTGTAAGAGCTAGCCTGCTAATTAGTATTGAAATCAAAACTCATCAAAACTACTTTCTTCTTTCTTCTTCGTTCTTAATTATTAGTGTTGAAGGGGATCGAGAATTTATCTGCCAGTGGGTTTTGAACTCGAGACTTCGTTCGAATTTATCAACCATGAGCTTTTTTGCCGACTCGACCACGCCTCCAACACAATTAAGCGTTACGTGTCAACTGGTTATACGCCATTGAGGCCATTGACTCCGATTTCAGCCTGCTTTTCTTTTTTGGGTTTGCTTCCTTAGCCTTTGTCCAACCAAGAACAAACTACAAGGCAGCAGTTGTTTTTAATTTTGGAGTTGTCTCGCCTAGAAGAGTGGCTGTCCCCAGCTAACGAGCCTCATCTGCCCGAGGGTTCGAACTCGAGACTTTTCGGTTTAGCAACCATGAGCTTTACCGACTCGACCTCGCCGACCCCTAAAACTAATTTAAGTAAAGGGTTTTTTTTCTTTCTTTTTTCTTGTTTTTTTTTTTTTTTTTGGTGTTTTTTTTTTAGATTCGTACCACATCATAAAAAAATAAAAATAAACCTTTTCGTCTGTCTCGCTCGTACTCATATTTACACAATCATTACAGAGTTGTTACATGAAGGGGTTGGTAGTAAACGAAGTAGAGCTGTATTTAATTACAGCTGCATTGTAAAAAGAACCGTGGTTTTTTAACAACGGACGTTTTAATAAATGAATGTTAAACGACGAAAAAACTCTAACGATAAAAAACATAACGTGATGTTGTAAAATACCTATGCTTCTTTGATAGACCAAAAAGACGAAGAAGAAGAACTCATCTAGCCGAAACTTGTAACATGTCTTATCTGACATTATTCAGTTTCATGAAGATTCTTTATTCATGTAATTTGCTTGCTAGGCCTACATAAATAATGGTATGTTGATCGTGGGATAATCGAACAAAACAAGCCGGAACTTTGACACACGAATGTGACACATAATGGGCCTAATGGCATAGACAACAGGGTTGGGAGGGGGGGGGGGTCAATGCGACTATGCGAGTAACAGAGCGGTGGCTATTTTACATTTTCATAATATCATTCCATTTCAATTTATTTATTTTTCAATTTATTTATTCAATAACGGTAACATTTCAAGTCACATTAAACAAAAAGTATACCTAATTAAAGTTAAGAATAAGCTTAATGATAATTTACTACAGAGGTGTAGCGAACCATCCCGGCGCCCGCGGCGAACTTTTAATTTGGACCCCCCAAAGTAAGTCACAGCGTACGTGTGTCTGTCTGTCCTTTATGCATAACTACACCTGTCATCCATCCTATCGCCGTGAAGCTTTTGGGAATTAGTTGAGAATAATGCCGGGAGGTTTCTGAGATTTAAAAAAAATTATTTCGGAGGGGTGGCGCCCCGACAGTAGGACGTCGTTTGGCGCCCAGAGTTCCCCAGCTGCTATGTTAGCACCCGGGCTCCGTGGATTGAGCGTCCTGCTCATGGTTAAGTGGAACGACTTAATTCAAAAGCCATACTGCGCCAGGCACATCCAACCCGGGCTCCCCATTGAGCACTATGGCGCCTATGTTCGTTTTAAAGAGTGCCATATACTAGTGACACGGTAGGCTACTGTAATCGTCGATTAAATCAAATCAGGCGCGTCCGCAGGTGTGAGACGGTGCGCCCTTGGCTCCCCGTGAGCAATATGGCGCCTCTTTCGATCCTCCCCGTACCACACAGAACAAAATCTTGCTTAAGATACTGGCTACTCCAGTTCAATCTAAGACAATACTGTTCGCACGATTTCCGGTTACGCGCTATTATGAGGTGGACGACTAAAATGAGAGATTGGGGGGGGGGGGGGAAGATTACAATACAAGATTGGTATTACCCTTGTGGTGTCAACCCCGTGATCTTAACTTATGCTGTCGTCCCCATCGTGTCACATTGATTGTGGGGGGGGGGGGAGGGGGGGGGAGGGGGGCAGATTTGAAGATTCCGTGGGGGGGGGGGCTGCGGACAGGGGTTAAAGTATATATTTTCTATATAAATTTAATATTTTAAAAAAATTCTATTTAACCCGAAGTGGGGGGGGGGGGTGACGTGCTGGAGGGCTGGGTAGAGATATGCCTGAAAGATACACAGCTTTTTGTCTCTACGATGCCTAACGCAGTATCTAAGGTCGTTGTCGTATCTCATACATTCTTGTATAAAAAATATCGATTTCAAAATCGGGTAGCCATAATTGATATTCATTCAAGATCAGAAGACATTCATGATTTTCGTGAAAATTGACGGTGATGTGTAGATGGGATGGACTGAGCGGGGCGGGGGGGGGGGGGCATATTCTCCCTAGGTACGGTCCTGTCCCCTAAATCACCAGCCCAACCTACACACAATTTACCTTTTAATAAAAAGAGTACGCTATGTGCAAATGAGGTAGGCTAAGGGACGTCATTGCTGAATAAACTGTTTTAGTATTTTAATACTAGAGTTACATCAGAGCATTTATGGGGATCGAAAGATAGTTTGTGTGTCTTATATTAATTTTTTGGGGAAAGGAATGGATAAATAAATAAAACTTGAGTGCAAGTAAGGATTTGACATACAGCGCCCTAGGCAAAACTTATTAAAAGCACCCCCCCCCCCCGCAATTTTTTCCGTGACCCCATATTATCAGAGGCGTAGCGACCCTTCCCGGCACACGGGGACAAACTTTCGATTTGCACCCTCCCCCCTCAAACTTTTGATTTGCACCCCCCCCCCTCAAACTTTCGATTTGCACCCCCCCCCCCTCAAACTTTCAATTTGGTTTTCCAACCTATTTTGGCGCCCCCCCCCCCCCCCTACGGACAGCACCCTAGGCTACCGCCTAGTTCGCCTTATATGTAGCGCCGGTCCTGCTCATACCTAACTATGGCGCATAAGACAGCAACAAAATTTCTCCCAGTCCTTACGATATTAAATTAGTTATTAAATTAATTTAAAAATCACTATATTGAACTTTAAAAAGGTGAGTAGCGAGACTAAATAATAGCGATCACTCGATCAACAAGGTGATCCAGGTGAGCTTGTGATATTTAACAACCTTGAGAAGATCGAAAACCGCTGGTCGAGTTTTAAGGCTATAAAGTAATAAGAAAAAGTAAGGGTGGTAATTCTATTTAAAATTTCGGATATAGGCCTACTCGATGAAGATGCCTAACTGTCAAATTAAAAATTTCCAATCCACTTGTTCTTTTGTTTTATTATTATGCATTTATTAGCGTATTCCAAGACCAATCTTTAAAACCCCGTATGACAGTATTATTAGACATTTGGGATTACTTGCAGAGGTCATGCCTAACTAATTGAGTTAGTGGCCTAGGCAGGGGGGGCGGGGGTTGGGGGGGGGGGGGGGGGTTATAACACCTCCCATGGAACCCGACCACTATATATATATATATATATATATATATATATATATATATATATATATATATATATATATATATATATATATATATATGATTATATACGTAATGAAACATTGTTGAACCCCTCCCATGACCACTTCCTGGCTACGCCACTGAATTGAGTAATCACAATCTCTTACCACTGTATAGTTCTATTGCTTTTTTTTTTGCCGCTTTCCTGAATTTGTACTAGGTCTATAGATCTACAGTTACAAAATCTATGAACTTCATCAAATGAGATTGATACTATGCAGTGTATGAGCAAATGCCAAAAAAATAAAATTCTTAGGTTAATATACCAGAAGTCTTTAAACTGCTAAATAAGTTAAACAAAAAAATAATTTTTGCAATGAAGAGTGAATTAGCATATGCTTTATTTTTAAAAAAATCAAAATGATGGCAGAGGCTAATCAACTAATACACAACAGACTCATCGGACTACATAAACTTCATGCAGTAAATAGACAGCTAAAATAATAAAATTAATGGTGCTTTAAAATCATAAAATAAATACTTAACCAAAGTCAGTTTCAACGCTTAAAATAAAATCGCCAACAACATATGGCACAATAAGGCCAAGTGCGGGAATATCAATAAATGGACGCACTTTTTGGTGGCAGAAAAAAAATTAAATTATTTGGAATCAATTTCAATTTTTGGTCAATTTTTTAAATAAAAGAAGATTTAAAAATTATAATAAGATAAATGGGATATTTTACAATGAAATATATGAAAATTATATTCTTGCCAAGATTCTTGTTACGAAAAAGTGGTTTTAGGAAACCCGCAAAAAACTTAGCAGACATTATTCTAACAACTCTCCAAAATTTATAGCACTACGCGACAAACAATACATTTTAGGATAATAGAAAATACTTAATTTTGTTTTTAATTTTACACTAAGCTCTTGCAATGTTTCGGAACAAGACACTGTTGTTATTCTTCCGACTAGTAATAATGCCCTTTCACACTTTAAGGCTAATAGGGCGGATGCCAAATTGTACAAAACAAAAAAAATGTTGTAAACTTTCATAATAATCAGTAAATCATTATAATCAAACAAAAATTATTAAATGAAAAAATACACAGTAAATGATGTCACACAATGTACAATATACATACATAACATGTTTTAAGCCCATACCGCATTTTAATGTGTTTTGAAAATGAAAAAAAACCACCGTTAAAGCAGTGGCGTAGCTAGGATTTTTGGGCCCCTATGCAAAAAGTGTTAGTGGGCCCCTCAGAGGCGTAGCGACCCTTCCCGGCGAACGGGGACAAACTTTCGATTTGCACACCCCCCCCCCCTCAGACTTTCGATTTGCACCCCCCTCTCAAACTTTCGAAAAAGGGTCCCTATTTGCCTTGGGCCCTATGCCTTGCTTACGCTAGCTTTACGGTAGCTACGCCACTGCGTTAAAACAAGACCAATGTCTATTACAATCATTCAAGTGTGAATTTGTCCCTTTTAATTTTTTTTTTGTTTGCAAAAGATATTGTATTGCATTGTGTACTTTCAAGTGTTACGGTGATAACCGATTTTGTGAAACGCTTACATTTTTTAAAATAAATAAGTAAATTTAAATGAGATGAAATATCTTCAAATAAGTAGAGTTAATTATTAAGACAAGTTGTATCAATAATCAGGCATGATCATCTTGATGCTTGTTAATGAAGATTGAGAGCAGCCAATAGAAATTCACCATTCAAGATTATACCTACTTGTGTCAGCGGATAGTTTTGTCAACAGCGATACGCATCACTGCGCTCCACGCTGGTGAGGTACAATAGCCTCCAAATAAGACGCCACGTGGTAAGTCAGATTTGGAGGTGGGAGGCGGTGGGGGGAGGACTTCGCCGCATGTTGCGTCAGAACAACACCTTTTAAAAAAATGTAAACAAACGGAGACAAAGAAACTAGATCAAGATGAGGGGCGGGGTCAAGCTTAGTGTTATAAATACCCGTGAATTTTGGCTAATCCGTCTCAGTCTACATCGTCAGACTAACCGATCACACGCATCGAACATTTCTGCATCTTGGAGTTTAAATGTAAGTAGACTTTACGTGTTTGTTATAAATATAATATTATTTACAATCAGAAAATATAAGGTCTATAATAAAATTTCTGTGCATGAAAATTCATATTTTAAATCAGCGATGCTGAATCCAGTAATAGTCGTATGTACCTACTAGGCCTACATTTAAAATTCACAAATTCACCTATAACAATAAATAAAAACACTTTTATGAGATATGTAACTCATTAATTCAAAATAAAATTAGTGGCAAATAATACCAATTAGCCTTAATGAAGAAAAGGTTATGTAAATAAATTATTTTACTCAGCACTTTATATTTATATAGTCTTACAAACATAGCCTATGATTGGTAATGCTTGTTTCTTTTCACAATGTTGAGGCTGTCTACAAGACAAAATGAAGTCCCAACATGTAACAAAACACTGCCAGTTGGGTAGTTGTTGGTCTGTATGAATTGTGATGCGGTTGTCACCTACGATTACAAAATAGTAATTTCCAAAGGTTTTTATTTTTCACTATAACTACGCTATATAGTAACCGTTTCTCCTGTAATTTAAATGTTTTTGAAATATTATTAAAAATGTCAATTCACATCGTAACCATGTTTTATTTACTTTCAGATTTCAAAATGAACAAAGAAATCAATATGATCCAATCAGGATTTATTTGGGATGTACCTCATCAACCTATGTCACTTGACACAGGGGTCACTCTACAAGTGTCACGCCCTGAAGTCGTTCCACAACTTTGGATGAGACAAGCACCTCAGTTAAATCACATCCACCCTGTTCACGGTAGAGTGCATATCACTCGACCAGTGCTGATACCCCAGCACTCACACGCATTGCCATGTACTCAAGTTCGGCTTCACAGGGTAACACAAGACTTTCAACTGGTCGTGGCCCGTCAACCGGCGCATGCGCAGCCTATGTTTCCATCCGTTGAACTCTGCACTCTCATGTCTCAGCCTGTCCTCACACGTGACGGGGTCCAAGTCTACACGCATCCTTGTCTTCTTCTGCGTCATCAGCAACCCCGGCAACAAGCTGGTGGGCTACAATGTTACGGACGTCATGCAGGACCACATAACCAGGCATATCCAACCGGCCCACTAAACCACTCACAGCCAACTGGTCCACATAGCCAGTCAACTTGTTCACAGTCTTATACGTACTCAACTGGCCCTCAATGTATGAACCCTCTTCATTCGCATCTAGCTGGACCACATTACCTCTCACGGTCAACAGGCCCACAAAACCTCTCACGGTCAACAGGCCCACAAAACCTATCACAGCCAACAGGCCCACAAAACCTATCACAGCCAACAGGCCCACAAAACCTACCACAGCCTACGGGCCCACTAAACCTATCAGAGCCAACAGGCCCACAAAACCTATCAGAGCCAACGGGCCCACAAAACCTATCACAGCTCACACGACCATCACAGCCAGCTAGAGTACAATCCGAGCAGGATCGCCAAAGACTATCAGATGTGCTACAACGGTTCTCACGTCTGATAATCTATCTTGACAACTTAATGAACATAGGGGATGCAACTCGGGTTGTAAACCGGAGTTTGGACAGGAGGGATACACGCGCCTTGCATAATACTGATGCTATACAGGTAGCACCAGCTGCTTGATGGATTTATTCAGACTAAAATACTTTTAAGTTATTCATTTGAATTGACAATTAAAATTGACTTTTTAAAATATTATTAATTTTTTGTTACTATTTGTTTATGTGTTATATATTTGAGTAATAAATTAATTTTTGTAACTATTTGTTTATGTGTTATATAATTGAGTAATAAAAAAGCTTCAAAATATTAAATTTGTTTCTACCTTCATTTTTCCCCTTTTTATTTTTATATTTTCTGCTTATTAATTTTAATAAAAATTAAAGGGTATATTCCAATGAGTAATTTAATAAAAATGCTTAGCAACACTCAGAGTTAAGCATTTTTATAATAAAATAGTTGAAGTATTATAATCATCAACAAGCTTGAATATGTATGTGGAACTTAAACAGATAGTGAACCGAATGAAAATTTTAAATTGGATCATATGCAACTTATATTGTTAAGGTTTGAGCTTTTAATTTATTTTTCTTGACTATATCGGAACAAAAAAATCCACGAAGATCGTGAAGTGAGTAAAAAATATTTATTATGAACACATGCAGTTACTTAGGCCTAATCATTCAGGTAAAAGTATAAGCATAGGCCTACCTCGGCCTACATTAAAAAAAAATTACTTTGGTTATGTCCCTTGCCAATTTTGCCTTACCGGAAGCGAATAATTCTAGTTCCTTTCCGACTAAAGCCGTCATCGAAGTAAGTCATTTTACAACCTTATATTTTCATAATCTTTCAAAATCGTTAATTTTAAGTAATAATCCATTGCTTTTATTATACTAAGTTGTACTTTTTTTTTGGCGCGTTAAGATTAATATATTTTTAGGGTAATAGATGTTTAAAATACCATTTTATTTTAAAATGTTGGTGGGAAACCAGATATCGAGTATTATGGTTTCGATATAGATCTAGACTAGTCTAGATTTAAATATACCAGAACATCTTAGATAAAAAAATTAGGTCTAGATATAGATTCTAGTAGTGCTTGTTAAGATAATTGGATATTGAGCAACAGTGAAGTTTTCAGTTATGAATTGTAACCATTGTTGAATGTGGAGATCTACCAGAAGTCCAGAACCATGAAAAATTTCAGTGACAATCATGACAATGCGCTGAATGGGTTATGGTTTTAAAAATCTGTACAGTTATGTAGCCAGAATTGTTACTTAGATGCCTTTTGCATCAATTTAGAAACTTCATACTCTACCTAAAATCTGGCCCTCAATTGAACTTAATTTTGTTTTCATATTAGTAGGCTGACAATGGCTCCTCCCAGAAAACAGCGTGAAAAAAAGAAGGCAGTTACAAATGAAGTAATTACCAAGGAATGTACTATTCATATGCACAAGAGAGTACATGGCGTGTAAGTTTTATATCTAACATTATTGTGTATAAAGTACTTGTGTTTACAGACAGATACAGTATCTCTATGTTTAACTGATTGTCATGATTTTTCAGAGGATTTAAGAAGAGGGCACCTAGAGCTATCAAGGAGATCCGCAAGTTTGCTGAGAAAATGATGGGTACCCCTGATGTTAGAATTGATATTCGTCTAAACAAGCACATCTGGTCCCAGGGCATTAGGTAATATTGACTAGAAATATGAAGTTTGGTGCTGTGCAGTTTCTAATTTAGAGAAGTGACTACTCCTAAATAGATTTTTTCCTTAAGCAATCTGGCCAGCAAAAGATGCAAAACGCCATGACCTAAATATCTGCACAATGGGATAATTACTCTTAGCTTTATTCTTCTGACAAAACTACAACAGTGTGGTCGAGCAGTTGCTCTGCAGGCTAGTCGTCATGGGGTGAGGTTTATAGTATAGCTAGCAAAAAGTTTTAGTTATAAGTTAAGTATAAAATATATTTTTTTAAAAACTATTTTCATACAGCCTATTTAAACCTATTTAAGTAAATAGTGTTGATCCCTGTCCCGTTAAGGCAAAATATAGGCCTAAACAATGAACATGTAGATGACAAGAAAAACCAGGTCATGTAGAGTTGTGCCCATCTTTTTCCAGCTAGAATCGACCTTAATAATAATCTTATACTTACCATAGGTATTGGGTAATTACTCTGTTACTGTAGCAGTGCTACTAAAAATTTAAAAAGGCCTGTGGGGGTATTTTTATACCAGTGTCCGATAATAGAATCTTCTTTAAAAAGGGGTGTTAAGTTACTGGTAGTTAACTAAATACACAAATGGCTGGCTAATGTCAATGCTAGCCCTGGTCCTACCATACACCTAACCATAAAATTTGTCGAGATTACAATACAAAACTATTTTATGGAGTCTATTATCGAACATTGGTATCTAAAGTCATTCAGACCTATTTTCAACTTTATTAAAAAGCATTTTGTTTTAATTTTTATTATAAAGTTTATGATTTTGTCATATTTATTACACAGAGACTCCTTTTTTCCCCAGACATGTTCCTCACAGGTTACGTGTTCGTCTTGCACGCAAGCGCAATGAAGATGAGGATTCAACTCACAGACTGTACACCCTAGTGACACATGTTCCTTGTGCTGAATTTAAGGGTAATATTCTTGGATATATTGTGGATGTCACTTTAATACTTTTGTCCTGAAGTTTTTGTTATATTAATCTATCTTTAATGCAGTGACATAATTAACTCTTACAGCAGCTGCCTTTTTTTTTCAATTACCTGGGGGGGGGGGGGGGGGGGGGTTAAAATGAAGTAGTTTTGAAGTGTTCAAGGTGTCTATTTCCATTCGTCTGGTAATAGCTGAATTAGGGTGATTTCCTTTTGTAACTATTTTCATTGCATTTAATTTTATCGTGGTTGTCTTGTAGTATATAGCCAACTATTCAATCCAATTCAGGTTATGAATATATATGTATAGCAACATACGAGCATACCTGTTCTGCCAAAAGTGGAATTGTTTTGTTTTTTATAAAATCGTGTCCCGTTCCACTTTTGTCAAAGTTTGTTTCATTTTATCGAGGAAATACAATCAGGGATACTTTAGAATTAATAAAGTTTAATAAACCGAATTGAAATAGGTAGAAAGATAATGTGAAGTTGGCTTTTGAGCTCTGATTATGCATCTTGGAAAAATAAATGAAATTATTTTTTGAAGTTTTCAGTAATAAATGTAATTTTATCAAGTAACTAACTAGATCTAGGTAGGCCTTTTAATTATAAACAATTAGATGGACTTCAGCATTTGAATCATATGGCCTGGTAAACACAGCAAGGCATGAAACATCCAAAATAATTTAAGATAGCATCTGCTACTGTTAAATATCAGTATGTTAAAGTTATTTTATTATGGGGGGTATTTTCAGCTTGGGAAAGTGCAGTCCACACCCATTCCTTTTCAACTAATCTTCATTTAACTAAACTTAAATTTCTTTTTGAAAATTCTGGATCAAATGTAACCTCATACACCATTCTGAGCAGGCAAAATAAAGCCATATTGTTGATCTGCAAATACTCATAAATTTAAATACATGGGTAGAAGTGAAGTTTACTGTTCCTAATACAGATAATACATTCTGGCTAAAGGGTAAATGTTAAAGATTTATTTAATGGGGGAAAGCATGCACTTGGTGCTGTAAGGTTGTTATTGGTTTACCTATTTTGGTATGTTATAGCTTGTTACATAAAAAAATGTGACTGGTTTTTTTTTTTTTAATTGTTTCTATTTTTCATTTTATTTCAGGAAAACAAACCCTTAATGTTGATAACGAATAAAAATTTTGTGGCTAGAGGAAATTGTGTTTTGTTTTTTTAGTGTGTGTGTTTGTTTCAATTTTTCCTGTTCATAATGTTTGGTAGTTAAGTTTTGTAGTGTTGAAGTATTCACCTTCTTACTGACTGGATACCAAGAGTAAGGAATAGATTTGGTTTTTGTAAATTTCTTTAGGGGAGGGGGTGTTGTCATGTTTTTTCCCTTGATAAGATCACATTTTTTTTTTTGGGTGTTATGTTATGGAAATGATATTTTTGAGTCATGAACCTAGTTATTTATTCAGTTTCACATCCATAAATGCTGCAGGTCATGATAGCTTGGTAGGGCAAGCATTTTGACAAAACTTAAATTGTACAATGTAAAATAAACAGCCCACTCTTGTCAATTTTATAGCTACATTACATGATTTAGATGAAAATTGTGTTACTATGCTAATTATTTTCTAGGCCCTAGTGAGTGTATTCTACTCTACTTATTAAATAACTTGTTTTATCCAGTATATATAGCATTAGAAGAGAAAACAAGGCCAAACACTTAAGGGGGCAGTATCACCCAGACTAAAGGAGGGAAACAAAAATATTCAACATACGTCAAAATTTTGCAGCAGTAGTAAAGTTTGTCTGCTATAATACAATATATAAATTGTAGGGTATATGTATAGCAACATATTTTCAAAAAATTATTTTGTTAAAATTTTATTACATTTTGAGGAGTTTTTGTAAACAATTTTCCGAAACCATAAGTAGAGTACTTAAAATTTGGTATAAACCTTCCTTGCGTTAATGGCTATCGTTGGAACTAAATTCATAGCATTCTAATGAGGGATACATTTTTAAGTTCAATTTTTTTGGTCTGATTTTGAAAAAATTTTCATAATGGATATCTTCTAGTTGCAGTACAGCGATAGGCTATCCTGTTATGCATCTCCCAGTGTTTCAGCAGGAAGGGCCTAAATGTTGGAAAACCGCAGCCAAAAATTACTAAGTAAAAAATTTTTGGTTAAATTATTTATAAAAAATGTTTGCATCATACTTTTCTTTTATGTGCTGTTTTATAGCTCCTTGATAATTACTATTATGGTAAAAAAATTCTGTGTGTGTATTTTTTTTTGGCACATTTTTTCGTAAATTTTCAAATGTCTGGGTGATGCTGCCCCCTTAATCTACAATACTTCAAGCTGAGAATTGGAAAATAAGCAGGCCTATGGTGTGCCAATTTATCCACATATTGAAATGAATATCAAAATTATCTTTGCTGTGGTACACACAGAATTAATCTGCACACAAATATGCAGAAAAGTTTTCATAAGAATACCTTGGCATATATTCAGGCACTAATATGACTGAAGTAGCAAAAATAGAGGCCATGTACTTATCAAAATGTAATTAAAAGGAAGAGAAAAAAAAGAATCCGTTTTTATTTTTAGCATTTATTTCATTGATGCATGTTTACATTAAGAAATGGCCAATCATAATGCATACATTTTTCTTCACTAAAACAATTTTGGAACTCAAGACAAATAAAATACCCTGCACTTAGTTCAAATGCAGTTAATATTATGTACAAGTAAATGCTCGTTCTATTGTACTATCATGTTCATACAATAGGCTGTCACACATAGTGATGTTTTTTCTCCTACAGCTTCTTATTTCTTAAAAAAATGGTTTATTTTTCCCTTCAAGGGATATATAAATTGTAATTACTTATGATAAAACAGAATGCCATTTTGTGAAAATTTTAACAGAGACAAAGGTAAAACTGTAAATGCGCCACAAGTATAGTGGAACTAAAATGTCTGAATTTTAAAATAAATAAAAAAAGGAAAGCCCCAATACCAAAACAAGAAAAGTTAGAGTCTGTATATTTCAATTTCATCCCCTTTTCTGATGAACACTAGTAGCAACTAGCATCAATACCTGGTGACTTGCTTTATTTTTGTTTCTGTCATATTAAAACTGGGAGTTGTGGTAAGCATAAATTGTAATGAGCTGTTTGATTCCAAAAGTTCATATCTTTCCAACCACACCATCCCTGGAATGGAAAATGTATTCATTTTAAAAAATTTAAAATATCCAGAAATGACACCACACTCACAGGGAGGTCGTAACTTTGTGACGGCGAAAGAAGGGTGGTGGTGGGGGGGTCAGATGGTGTGCCATCGCACTTTTGCATTATAAAATCTCGATTTCAAATTTTGCACGCTTAACATACTTCCTTTATACTTCTTATACAAGAAAGTAAAACGCAATGTTAGAAAAAAGAAAACAAATTTTACCTGTTATTTTGCATTTTCGTAAACTGTTTTAATAAATTGTAATAGGAATTGACTAAAATACTCTTTGTTGACTGAGTCCAGACAAGATTTTGGGAAAAAAGTCGATTGTTGTAAGAATAGCTCTGCAATTTTTTTATTTGGGGGGGGGGGGGGGGGGGGGGGTGTTTGTAGGCTGAAGTGTAGGTCATTTTAAGGGGGTGGGGGTAAAAAGCATGATACATGACCCCTTAGGAGTTTACAACTAAGAGGATGTATGTTTACCTGCTCTATAATTTATAAATAATAGTGCAAACATTATTTTCCGTATCTTTTAAAGTGAACCTTGCAAACTAGGATTGAATTCGTGCTTACCTTGTCCTGTATGATTTTTATATCTTCTCCACCTGTGTAGTGGGGATCAAGAATTAAAAAACTAATGTCACCTGTCATCTCATCGTAAGCAACACCAAGTATTGTATGTGCAAGTACTCCACCACCTGTAAAATCACACATTTAATTCATTTGAAGGGTGAAGAAAGGATCATTGGGCAGATGAAGTAGAGTTCATCTGTTTCAATGACCTCAGCATAGGAGGAGATATTGTGGTCAGCAATAAGCCCAACAGAGTTGGGAGGACTAAGGTGCATCCTGTAGACCCGAGCCCAGGATTCAAACTCAAGACTTAGGTGTCATAAGCTCTAGTACCATTCAGCCACAGCTTCCTCAAAGTAAGGATAGCAGATTTATTTAAACCAAACAGGTTTTCGGATTCAGCGATCAACAACCTGACCCTAAGATTCTCATTATATTAGTAAAAAGTAAATGGAAGTCAGCACTGTGAAAGATGTAAAATAAGTCTATACTCTTAGTATTATCAATGCTAAAACAAATTGAGTCTTTAGTATCTCTTTACTCATTTAAGTTTAAGAGTGATCATGTGTACCTAAAAATCAGAGAGTTTCTTAATTAAAAGCCAACTGGTCAAAGTGATATTACTTTAGGGTTAATCAGTGCATGTCTTGAGCTGTAGTCTCAATTATATAGTTACATTGTTCTGTCTTTACATTAAACAATAACTATATTGCACATTTATTTTGTTAGTGGATTGAAATAACACATGTAACAGACAGTACTGAGACCCCGGGATGGTATATAAGGTTCAATAATTGAGAGGATGCACAATTAAAGTCCTGTGGGCTAAATGATACTATTCTATGGATTTATCATTATTTAGACACTGATTACACTCATGCTGTGTGGACTATCAATTTTCCAAAGAGTGTTCAGTACATGTTTACACACTACAATAAATGAAATTTTAAAATGGACAAGCAACATGAAGTATTGTGAATGTATTTACCTATCATCACTGGTGTTCCTTGTGTTTTAAAATGGTTAGCCAACTGTTGGCCTGTGCTGGAAAGCTCAGAACCTGCATTCACATTGATGAATTTACTAGTCACCTGTTGGTGGGTAAAATAAAAATATTTTTTAAAAAAAACAGGTCTTACTGCTTATCACTAATTTTAAACTGGTACCAAACTGGGCTTTTTAATGTATACGCATGGTTTTCCATGGTTATTAGAACTGTTATTGATTGTGTTTGTTTAATGCACTTACTCCCAGTAAGTGATCCAGTACATAGCTGACTTCAAATGACCCAATCCACTGTCTGCTACCTACAAATTTCTGCTCCTTGTCGCCTACTTCAAATAATGCCTGAAATTTGAAAACCATTTTTTTTCAAATTTAAATAGTTTTAAAGACAATATAAAAGATGTGTTAAATTATTTCTTTGCTGAAATTTTAATTAACAGTTTTTATACACCAAGATAGATGTAACATTATTCATTTATAAAATTTAAAATACAAGCCGACCCGCGGCATATCATACGCCGCTATTTAGTTGTTTTTTCTACTTTTCAGTAATTCATCATTTGTGAATTCGACACTACCAATGAAGCCACTGAAAATATTTCTTTAAAACACTATAAGAAAGCTCGTTAAGGATGATACCCCCCCCCCCCCCTCCTTCCCCCCCCCCCCCCTCCGTTAAAGTAATCTCCACTTAGTTACCCCCCCTACGTTTAAAATCGTTTCAAACTAAATTGTCTGCCCCTAATAGTCGTCACTAAACCCGGCTCTGCTTGTAAACATTTAGCGTGAACCACAGCTCACCAGACCATGTAGGGGTGGGGGTGGTAGGGAGCGCGCTTACAGCTTGTTTTCTAGCGTCTCCCAGAAGAGAATAATATATATAGATTGTTCATCCAATATCATAATTTCCTAATGTTGCTACATTTCAATGACTATATAAATAGGTTATATAATAAATTAACATATTAAAATACATGTGATATTCATATTTGAGCTAAACAATACAATATAACTCATTAATCTTTCACCTGTTGGATTTCCTTATGTGTGGGTATATTTTTTTCTGTGTAGCCCTGGTATTTAAACCAAGAACATATTGTCTGTAGAGATCTGTAAGCGCAGCCCCACTTGTCGTCATCAAAGTGGTCCTGCATGTAGTGGTGGTAGCTGTAGTAGCCATCCACAACAGAGACTGTAGCTGACTTTACTGAATATATAAAGAAATACATATCACACAACAGTGCCAGCTGGTTTCAGAATTCTTTTTTTTTTAATATAAAATAATTATTTATTTTTCTTTCTGCGAATAAATTTTTATATTCTTCACATTTAAAAGTTAATTTTCACATATAAATGTTCCAGTAAAAATGTACTTTTGTTGTGTTTTCATGTCCTGAAACTCTTGCAAACCATTTTTGGTTTACATACAAATGATGGAAATTATGTGCATCTTAGAAAAAAGTTTTTTTTAAAAATACATGAAAATTATGCATTTTCAAGATACAAATCATGTATCACCAAAATATCTGATATTGCATATTATGTATGGTTTATTACAAGAAAATATAATAATAAACTTTTTATTCAAGTTTGAAGAGGAAAAAAAGTAGTTACAGATACCTGGAGGGTCATTAAGCCCTAAATGAGGATTTAACAAATATCCCCCAGGGGCAGTCTGTCTAAGAAAGAACCCTGCAGCACCTTTTCTTAATAATGGCTGGTTGAGAGGAAGGCACAAATGTTCATGCAGAATTTGGCGTTCTTTTTCTGTCGATTTTGGTAGCAAAAGAAACTTAAGTGAGTACAAAACTATTTAAAATATAAACATTTTAGTAGTACGAACAATCTCTTTTTGATATACAGTTTAGTATACATGATTTGCCATTTCGCAACCATAGAATTGAAGTCTAAACCATTTTTAGAGGTCTAGCCTGCATGATTAAGTATAGCTCACCAAGTTCATTTTCTGTGGCTCCCTTGGGGTATATAACTGTGACTGGGGTCTCAAGACAGGATGGCTTAAAGTGGAAAACTTCAGGTGTATGCATTCTGTTATCCTGTAATTGATGGAAAAGACATTTTATTTAATGTAGTAAGCATTTTTAAACAAATTTTTAATTCCAAAAAAATCAAACACATATGATTAAAAAATATGAAAAACTAATTGCAAGAAAATTATCGCTTTTAAATATTACTTATATTTTTATATACCATTATAGATTGTATTACAAAGATAATCTTCTAAGCTGGTATGTTTATATAAGAACTCCTAACATTTTGAGATTGTAATTAACTAATGTAAAATATTTAAATAATAGTAAAAATACTTTAAATGTTATAAAAAGACACTAAATACAATAATGATTCTATAAAATAGAAGTATCAGATTTCAATCTAAAATTCAAATCTTTGAGAAAAAATAACTATGTAAGTACCATTTTATTTACTATCCGCTAATGAGGTAAATGTAGTGAAATGAGCATGTGTTTAGAAATGAAAAATGAATGTAAACAATATTACTATTTTTGCTCCCTTACATAAGCACATTCAGAGATATCTTTTCAAAAGTAAGTACACAGTGGTTTTATTTGAAAGGAGTTATCTTACTTGTGTGTAAACAGATAAACACTCAAATAAAGCTGCTATCTGCCGGCTCACAGCTCTACTTAAAACATTAGAGAGTTTAGCAACAGGCAGCGTTTCCTCAACTTCTACTAGTATATCTATTGGCAGGGAAAGGTGTGTAGTTTTAAATGTACCTGAAAAAAAGATTTTTGTTATTAATGAATAATCTTATGAAAGCTTCAGTAAAATATATAATTACAATTGTAAAATGTGGGAATTGTCAATGTGTTTATCTTTCACATTTATAAAAAAATAAATATAAATATATAATGATCATGAATAACTTTACTGGCAAAACCAATTATACATACCGGTGTGGTGTCTAATTATGGGAGCATATTGCAATGGTGTCTGAGGTTCTACTGTTATTAATTGCAACAAAGATACAGGAACTATTATCTGTAAAAAGGACAACTATACTGAGATTTTGTATACATATTGAATTTAGATCAATACATTTTTTAAAAAAAGAGTACATTTGTCTTTCAATTTAGAAGGACTATTATAGGTATATGAGACTTGGGATCAGCACAATGCACATACAAATAGATGATCAACAAATAGATGAATCTGAGACATTTTGTATTGAAATCATGCAATAGGTCATGCACTAGGTAGACTAAACCGACATAAAAATGGAAAATATTTAAATAAAAATATTATCACCTGTTGACTGGCACCACTTTTCTTTCTACCTCCAGTGCTTAAACTCCCATCTTGTTCAATGAAAAATTTAATGATATCTCCACACGTAGACCACCCTACTGATGTGCTGCCCACAAATCTCCCTAGTTTTTGTAGGATGATTTTGTTTTCATCAAAGCCAAACACAAATCCACCAGTCAATGAATGGTTCTGAAGTTTCATCAATTCATGATCCAGGATAGACTTCATTTGGTCTTCTAAAATCAAAGTTAACAATTGTCTTTTTGGTTGGTAGAAAGAAATATTTAAAATTATGATTGAAAAAAATCAGTGTTTTAAAATCATTTTACACAATCTTTAGAAATAAGAGACATCTATCCAATCAGTCTACAACACCTATCATTCAACTTATTGAATAATATTTCATAAACAATATGTAAAACTTATAGCATTAAACTTAAAATATTGATTGAAAGTATGTAACAAGATTCAGGTCATTTAATAAAAAAGTGTATTTTGACAAATATTTCAAATGTTTATCAAATTTTAAATTGAAACAAAAAATAGTATGTCATAATTACTAACCACTTTGAGACTCTATAGAAATATGCAGTGGAATTTCTGCTTTTAATCTCATTTTTAACAAGGGCTTTGTCATATGATCACAGTTTATTTCAGTTTTCAAGACAGAATCTTCATTTAATGTGAAACAAAGTGAATGCCACTCTGTTTCTTTTGAAGATTTCCTCCACAATCCCAGAACAATAATTTGTGACATTCCCATTTGTTCCTTAAAAATGGAAACAAAGTTTTGATTAGCACTTTTTTTTCAGTCAAATTTTATTGATAAATGAAAAAGTAAATGAATGTTAAACTTTAATAAAACAATTTCCAAAGTTAAACGTGATAGGTTAAAACATTAATATTTCTTAATTCTTTTGATCACAAATCTTTGTATCTTCTATTACTGATAATGATAATTTAGTTCCTAGTTTTAAAGCTATAGTTGAGGTTACTATTAGGTGTGAGTAAGAAGTATATTTTTTTAATTTAGGGCTACACTGTATATGGGAGTATAGCCGATGAGTAGTCTCCAATTAGTTTTAGATATTTTATTATTAATGTTAAAAAACTAACCAGCCAAAAGCTATAGTTTCCAAATACTTCTTCAAACTCTCGATCAATATCACCTTGGTCATTTTCAACCAGCCCTTTGACAGAGTGCTCTGAGGGTAAAAATACAACTCCCACCACATTTGTGCCTGGAAATAGATTGTAAATTATTTTATAAGCCAACAGGTGCCAGTGATATGAGCCTGGTTTGAAAATGAGGCCCATCTTGTTAATTAAATATTTAATGATGGAAACTGTTTTTAAGTTTTGAACCACATTATGAATTATACAAAAGCACCATAAAATTTTAAGACAGAAAACCCACAAAATTTTGAACAAATTTTTTTTTTAAATTTTGTTTTGTAAATTTCATATACAAATTAAAGAGGATTTAAATAAAAAAATCTCACCTGCAGGAAAATGACTAAGACACTTATCTATGTCTTCCTTTGGCTCATTTGTATCCACTATTTGACTCTGCCAAACTGCAGAAACGGAAATGGGTGTAGCATCTTTACTGTTCAGGGCACCAACTAAGAAGCCTTTAATTCCAGTCCCACTCCATCTACCATTTTTGATTGTCTGAAATACAGTAGCAGCTAATCAAAATGGGATTCAAAAAGTAAATATAATTAACATTATGCTATGGACAAGAATCTAACACTGCAGTCCTCAATTTTCTCAAAAACATAGAATTGTATAAGTCAATAAGATTAATTTTAAAATAATTATGCATCATCTATACTTAAAATACTTCAGTTTTCAAACCACTGCCTCACCACTAGCCATAATCGTTATTTAACATTTCTTTCATTTTTTTAAAAATAAATAATAATTAATATTCAGATTTCAATCATGGAGTCACCAATAAATGATATCTTGCTTTTTACCTTCCCCCAACCTTTAAATAGTTTAAACATCACACCTCAGCCTACCACCCCCTCAAATTTGCAAATTTTGTTTTCTTAAACAGCAATTCCTGTCAAAAAGTTTAAGAGTTGTGTCAACATTGATTAATTTTTATTAGAATATTTATTAGAATTTCCAAAAAAAATATTTTCAAAATGCGGAATACAGTTAAAATTCAGTTTTTAAAATTCATTTATAAAACTTTAACTCCCCCCCCCCCCCGCTAGTCACATGTTGTCACAACCCTTAAGTCTGAACCCTCTCCCCCAATTGTGTAACGTTGTTTTTAGAAAACCTCTATCCAGCTATTAGACAAATCAAAATTATTACAAAAATTATTTTGTTGCCCTATCCAAACCCATTTTCTTTTCCTGACCTCTTCAATATATATTTTTGTTGAATAGACGCAGCTTTGAATACTCTCAAAAGGTTTATTAAATAATTTTATACTGGGGTATGATTGTTAATTTAAAAAATGTGGTTATGAAAACTTTATTGTTAGACTTCAATGAAAATTGCATAGATTTGATGCTCTAACTCAGGGGTCTCCAAACTACGGCCCGCAATGTCCTCTCATCCGGCCCGCGGAGATCTTTTTGTTCACAGAAAAAACGTTTGTTGGTGATGGCTGAGGAACTTTGCCCAGAAAAATCAAAGACATGCCAGGAACTAACTGGCCCCCGAACTGAAATTTGATAGTTAATGCGGCCCTCGGACTGAAAAGTTTGGAGACCCCTGCTCTAACTAAACAAAATTTTCAAAAAGCAAAAATAATTTGGTTGTTTTTATTTTATGACTGAAAATGAATGTAAACTAATATGGAAGAACTAAGTCATGTGGTTTAAAAAAAAAAATTATTTAAAAATTTTATTGGCAAAGTTTCAAATACAAATTACTACAAAGTGGGGTTTTCAGAAGATCGATCACGGATGTATGGCGTACATCGACTCAATATATATATGGTCCTACTAGGCTGCCTCCATTTAAAATTTAAACAAATAGGCCTAAACGATAATTTCTATTCTAGATAGTTCGCTCAGTAGACTGTAGTTAGAATAGTTACTAGATCTAGTTCTAGTAAACTAGTTAGTAGAGTGTACTAACTACAGTAGCACAGTTACAAGAGGCTAGCAGATACTTATTTTGCTTATCAATAGGACTATATTTTTTATTTTAATTAATATTTATTCACAATCGACCAAATAAAAGTCAGTATGCTAATTCCCAGTTGATTAGAATCAAGATCTACACGGACTACAGTAAATAAATACGAAAGTGACTACTCTGAAAAAGATTTTTCGCCCCAGCGTCTCCACTTGGTTGGCAAAAGATAGTTCTGCGCATGCGCAGTGACCTTAATTAATAGCTGAGCTAGGGATATGGCTAGGATTAGGGATAGGGATGAGGCTAGGGTTCTGCGGTTGTAAACACACGCATGCGCAGTACCATTGAAAACATCGCCGCTAAAGCAAGTCGTAATTTCTCTCCATTGTGCATGCGTAATTTTTTCCGGCTAGAATCGACCTAATATATTAGAGCCTTAGGCCTAAATAATTTATATTACGAAGTGACTACTCGGAAGAAGATTTTTCTCCCCAACGTCTCCACTTAGTCGGCAAAAGATAGTTCTGCGCATGCGCAGTGACCTATGGCTAGGGTTAGAATTAGGATTAGGGATAAGATTAGGGCTAGGGTTAGGATTAGGGCTAGGGATAGGATTAGGGATAGGGTTAGGGATAGGATTAGGGTTGGTGTTAGGGTTCTGCGGTTGTAAACACACGCATGCGCAGTACCATCGAAAACATCGCCACGATGTATGCGTATATTTTTCCGGCTAGCATCGGCCTTTATATTATCCACTCTACTGAGTCTACTGTGTGTGTGGTGACTCCACTGAAACACTAAACTTAAACAAACACACACTACTAAGCAAATGACAAGAGAACAGTCACAGTGAAGTTGAGTTTAGTTGAGTGAAATGAAATGTGGGTAATCTATCGTTTTGGGTACGTAAAATCGCCCGCGGCTATTTATGTACGAAAACGTTACCACATTGTCAAGGCTTTAATAGAAGTATATTGTCATACTTTTGTGTCAAATATTATAGATAAATGAATAATAAACCTAAATCAATGGCTAAATATATCGATATAGGCCAGAAATTAACTTTAAACAGCAGTGTCTGAGAGCAAGATTTGCTATATAAACAGCAGCCATTTGTAAAATAGAGTGACTTCCCCCTGAATCTGGCGCTAAAAGCTTATAAAAATAAAACTTAGACAAGATGGCTGCTATAGTAAATGAGCATGATTGCATCTGTTGGAAACATCGCTAGTCTTCATTTATTACGGAAAAGTTTTAATTCAATTGTTTAAAAACAGGTACATAAATGAATCAAGGAAACATTTTTGAATTTTTAAAAACATAAATCCTCCTCAAAATGTGAAATAATTATTAAAATTTAAGGAGTCACCTGTTTTTCACATTACAAATCGCGGGCGATTTTACGTACCCAAAACGATAGATTACCGAAATGTGAGACTGAGAATTTAGTGATGACGGCCGCCACGGGTTTTGTAAGCTGAGAATGAGATTCGGTCTAGTTTTTAGATCTAGGCCTATAGTTAGACTAGTATAGATTATTATAGAGTCAAGTAGGTAAGCTAAACAGATAAACATCGTTAGACACATTTAAATAGTTGCATTTTTTTTCATTGTTTACAATATGTTTATCCACAAACCCTTAAAGTTTTCGGTGATATCAACACGGTGGTAGCCATATTTGTTTATTAAAAAATAAAAATTATTAGATCAATTTGTGAAACGAAAAACTAACGCATTTGCATACACAGCAGCGGTTCTCAAAGTATGAATTTGTTACCAATCAAAATTTGATAACATTAGCCTAGCCTTTTCCTTGTTCTATTTATTATATGTTTTTATAAATGTCGGATCTGTACTTGTTTAAAAGAATTCTTTTTTTTTTTTAAATTAAACGCTCCAGGCCTATCAATTAAAATTATTGTTATTATTCTACATTTAGCCTAAACAGTAAATAATATCCTATTATTGTGCATGCATTTTATTTAAATGACCAAATGATAAGCCCCCCCCCCCCTCCCCCTCCAGAGTTTCTTCCAGGCATCTCTGGAATTTGTATAGAAAATATATACTTTAACAGCGTCCGCCTCCCAAAAATTCTAGTCCGCCCCCCCCCCCCCAAATTTCAAGTGCCCCCCCCCCCCCCCAGGAAAAAAGTCTGGAAGAAACACTGCGCCCCCACTGATGCAAAAAGTGCGCAGGCGAAAAGTTAACCCCCACCACTTGTGACCTATTTCTGATGTCTAGAAATTTGAATAATTAAACGCACGCCATAAAAACAACTTCTTATCCGCCTCTAGGGTTACGGTTATCTAGTCAAGATCCTTGTTGTTTGTTTTTTTCTCTTCTCTGCAGCAGTCTCTAAAACGAATTAGATTTTGCCTCACCCAAATAGTACTATTTGGACCCTGTACGGGTAATCAGCACCGTTTTGTCAAAAAAAAAAAAATACTTAATTACCATGCTTTTCTTTCTTTAAAAAAAAATACCATCAGATCCATGATTTGTTGGTCTAGTTTTCAATACAGATTTCTTTAAAGTAAAAATAAACAAACATTTTTTTACTTTTTTTTTAAATTACGAATACCTATGTCCGTAATATTTAAAAGGGAGGTTATAATTTTTTCTGTTATCATTAACAAATTTGCCTCCCTTTCCCAATCAGAGTGAGATTCCATCTTCTTAGTTGTTTTTTAAACGATTGCATTAAATTATTAATTTGGAAAGAAACTTTTATATAAAGCTATTTTGTTTTACATTTGCATTCAAAACGGGAAAACATTGTTTTTTATAAAAACATTTGGATGTCAATAAGTGGTTCAGTCTTAGGTCTTAAAATTTATAACTGCTCGCGCTAAGCTGTTTTCCTTGTTGTTATAGCCCCAGTTACTCAGTATATTCAGCATTGAGTTACTTCTATGTAGCCTATGTTGGTGAATGGTGGTGCCAAATATCACAGGTAGACTAGAAAAGTTTTATTTAATTTACAAAATGTTCTGTCACTTAAAAGACCAAACACAAACGAAGTAAATTTGTGTTTTCATGCAGGACAAGCTTTAATTTATTTTAAAATTTGCATCATTACTAGGCTTAATCCGAAAATAAATTAAGGCCCTTGAAATGTATAATAAATACTTTTTTTAAATACAGGAGGCCGAAAGTCTTTGATTCTGTTGTTTAGGCCTACAGCAAATATAGGCCAAATCAAATATCCTGAAAAAAAATAGGCCAAATTGGTATTCGGACCGATTCATTGACTGTGGCAAATATACATACAAGCTGTTTGCTCCGTTCTTTTATTTCAATAACTTATTTAAACGGATTATTTTTATTCAGCGGGCCGCCCGTCAAGATGTAGATTAGCCAATACGCTGCGATGCTTGACGTAGCTCACTGCTGACACCAGCCAGCGTCGGAGTGTGTTACGCGGCTACCGCCGTCTGCTAAACGATCGATGCGAACTGTGTTGTGTGCGTTGCTTTTTTAAAGATTCGGCTTAGGGCCTAATGTGGCGCCGCAGGACAGGAAAGGTACGTGTTGTTATCAATGTTGCAGTACATCTGTGATATTTATCTGTATTTGTATGCTCATTATTAACTTATTAACATAATTAATTTGAAGATCACTGTCTGTAAATCTAGACTGTCGTACACACGTAGGCTAATCGTGTCAGTACGGAAATCATTGAAAGGAGGTGGAGGGTAGACAACTCAAGTGTGCAAAGTGTTGAGATTCTAGTCTAGTGTCAGTCAGTAGACCTTAATAAATGAAGTAAACTTAAAATAAAATGTTAGGTCCATGGCTTAACTTTTAAATAAAGATATAAACAAAACTCATGTCTAGTCCCCCGTGAATCGATCTTAGTCTAATTTAATAATTTTAATTATTATTATTATTATTATTATATGTCATATGTCATTGTGTTAGTAATAGTAGGCTGAATAATTAAGGACTAGAAATCTACTAGACTATTACTACTATCATCACTATGTTTTATTTTTTAATTATCTAGCCAAAAAAAAAAAAAAGTAATTTGCCTAGCAACTGGGTAAATTTTAGTATCAATCTAGATTTCTAGATCTAGACTAGATCTAGACCTAGACCAATAAACTATAAACCTGTTTTTTGCTACTTTTTTGTCATTTCACTATTAATTATTGTATTGTTTTGCAAGTTAAACAAGTGACATAGGTTTAGAAAGAAATCGCAATAAAAAAAATTGCCATTTGGGGGGATGGGGGTTGTTAGACTGAAGTCTTAGCCTTTTGACATGGGTGGAGGTGAGGTGACATAATTTATGTATGACCTGTCAAATAACGTTTTCGCTAAACCCCTTAAAGCTGAATTGTTATAATGACGATCAGAGTTTCTTCCAGGCATCTCTCCGGGAGGGCTCCCCACCCCCCCCCCCCCCACCACCCCCCCCCCCCCCCCCGAAGAAAGTCTACCCCCCCCCCCCCTGGAAGAAACGCTGATGACGATTGTAATCCTGATTCCAGTTTTTAAAAGACATCTCTATGGTTGAATCGCTGGCTGTGACCTAGAATGACTTCTTTCTTCTTTAGGGTCAGCTAATTAGTATCTGATTGTTCCACTTGTGATTTAAGACTAGGTCACCTAATTAGGATCATATTGTCACCTACTTTTTTGGAACGCTTTGTCATCTAATTAGAATTTTTTTTTTTTTTGTTAATACTTTTTGTAAGGCTGTGTAATTAATTTTGACCATACTGCTCATTTTGCGTTAAATACATTACACACTAGCAACATCATCACTAACATCATCACATTAATTGTCTAACCCCCCCCCTTTTTTTTTCTCTCCCCCCCCCCCCCCCCCTCATTCCTCCTTCCTAACGCACAATAATGCACAAGCTGTCACAAAACGCTCGACTACCATAAAATGAGGTCACTTAAATTGAGCAATCAGCAAAATCCTAACAAAATGTGATGAATTTTTCATTTTTTTTTCTTTCTTTAAAAACACAAAATGTTAGCTACGTAAGCTCTCCCTAACCTCGTCTCTTTCCATTAAAAAAAAAATTACAAAATCTAAAACACCATCTGTTTTTATTGTCCAGTCTCCACCCCTCCCCGCCCACTCCAAATCCACCATCTTCCGCATCACACATCAGAATATCAAATTGTGAATGACCCCAAAACCTCGTGTGTGTTTTTACTTTTAGGATTTATACTACCAACTATAACCTAAAGTTGCACTTTACCGACCATTGTATAGCGGTATTGAACTAGCTTCTTTTAATTATTCCTTACACTTAGAAAACTAGCTTTAACTTTGTCTTTTTTAAACGATCTTAGCTTGTCACTGAAAAAAACGGGACCACTTGTCATTAACAGGTGCCAGGTAGAGTATATGTCAAATCGATATTTCTACACATGAATCTTGTAACCGTTTTTACGTTGTCTGACACCCCGATACACTATACATAAAAGGTTACAACATGACAGCTAGCTACACGGCTGTGATAGGCCTATTGATTTGTGTTTCTAGTTTTACAGGTAGTTTTTATATATTGTTTCAATCGGTGTTTCTTGCAGACATTTTTGCTCCGGTAAAAGTCCCGACGAAAACAATTGGAAACATTCGGGGGGAGGGGGGTTAAAATTTCAGGAGGGGGGAAACGGACACTCTGGTTAAAGTATATTTTTCTATATAAATTATAGATTTCTTTCTATTTCATGGGGTGGGGGGGGGGGTGTGCTTGGACGAAGCTTTGGTAAATGAAATGAATAGCCTTAGTCTATCTTTTACAATTTTCACTAAACACAAAGAAAAAAAAACTTCGGTATTTTATTGTTGATTAAAAATGTGTTTTATTATTTTTATTTTACCATAGCAAGAGCCTGATCACACGATGTATCCCGTTGTTTCCATCACTCTCCTGCCACTTTCTAACTACACGTAATTTAAATTTAGAAATTAATTTATTTTTTAATAGTCTAGTTAAACGATTAGTGTTTTTTTCTAATGCAAGCAATCGATACTTAGTTACGATTTTTTGCATAGGCTATGTTTTAAGTAGACACTAAAATAGCTATATAAACGTTTTCTATATTATTATTTTTTTTAATATGTAAAGGAAGAATAACGTTTAAATAATACATTAAAAAAAAACACTAGAACTAGACTAGACGTTATTAATTCGGTGAAATAGTGAAAAATACCATACAGGCCTCCCACAGCTTCTTACTAATGAATATTATGATTTTTTTTCCTTCTATATACATTACTTTCCGTCGTCAACCGTTACACGTGAATTATAGGCCTATATATTTTAATGTTATACTTGTTTGAGAAAAATATTTTCTAAAAAAGTTATTGGTCAAAATGCTATGTGCTTTACTACACTTTGAACGATAATATAATAATTATTTGTGAGAGAGGCGTTTAATTGCTTTTCCACTCTCTCTCTCTCTCTCTGACTTGCATATAATCTGCTAATCTACGCCTCTATAGTACATACGCCTCTGACGTGCATATGTTTATGAAAGCCACGTATATTTCTATACAAAAAATATGCTTAACACAAAATTTAAATTCAATGGGCCTAGCTTTCACACACACACACACACACATACACACACACACTTAAGTCACAAATATTTTGCTTTTATCGGTAACGATCGTTGAGACGCACAATTTCTACAAGAAAAAAAAACTTGACGATCGCGTTTGGTGCCCTTCACCCCTTCACCCACCTCTCCCTCCAAGACTTGCTCCACATTTCATTGACCTATTTGGCAACGTTTTTTTATGCACTAGATTCGTACCAGGCCAACGCAGAGAATTTCGCGCCAGCCGTGAAAATTAGTGGTGGAGTGGACGGGGAAAGGGGGGCAGTTTGTTGCGTTGAAATTTAATTAATTAATTTTGGTTAGTTCTTAATGGAGGCGAAGAGAATTGTTTGTTTTGGTTGTTGTTGTGTTGTGTCGTCTTCCAAAATGTCCCATTCTAAGTCATAGGCTTGGATTTGATTGGATTATCGTTGTACTTTTAGGATTGAGAAAAAAAAAGGGGGGGGGGGGATGGCAAAGTGACTGTTGTTTGGAGTTAGGGATCTGAAAAGTCGTGGCTTTTTTTTAACAATTTATAAGCATGTAAGTTGAGCTTGGTGTCCGACAATAAAAGAAATACCAGGACCGCGTATTTCGTCGTTTTCAAAACCTAAATGTAGTATTTTTATGATAGTATTTAATGTTTTAATATCTGAAAGAACTGTGAAAGAAATAGCAATATTAGTCTAGCTTTACTGTTCTGTCTTTACAGTAACTAATTATCTGTACGATGTGTCCTCATATCAATGTCAGACCCCCCCCCCCCTCTCTTTGTTTTGATCACCCGAGCATAAGATTGTTATCAAAACAAACAAATAACTCATTGTGTCAACGAAACAAGTGACAGACTTAACATTCGCTGGTAATAAAACTTATAAAATTAACGTCTTTTAAAAATTCAGAGTCATTTTCTACATCGTCAGCACCGATTATTGTATTCTCTGTACCCACCACCACCTCCCCTTCTTATACAGAATTGCTACTGCCGTTAGTTGTGCGAAGATACTTTATGTTCAGTGTTTCTTCCAGACTTTTTTCTCCGGGGGGGGGGGGGGGCACTTGAAATTTTCAAGGGGGGGGTAGACTTACTTCGGGGGGGGGGGGGGGGCGGACACTGTTAAAAGTATATATTTTCTATGTAAATTATATAAATTTCATTTCGTTCGGGGGGGGGGGGGGGGGGCGAAGAGATGCCTGGAAGAAACTCTGTTTATGTTAATGCATTAAAGTAACACTTGAATGACGGCATTGCGCTGCGATGTACTAGAAATACCCAGTAACTTTGTGTCACACACAAAGCGAGTGTAAGTTGATAGGATACAGGTTTTTTTGGCTAGTTTTAAACATATACACTTGAATCTATATTTTGTTATTATAAACTTCGAGAAACCAACATTACACTTTAGCTCAAATTAACAGTGAAATCATTGCAGTGGAAAGAACAATCATAGTCCCTTTGATTTGCGCACCATATTCCCTTTCATTTGATCACAAATTACGCACATTTTCAAACAAGTACTTCCGTTTTTTAACATCTTGAAGATGATTTAAAAGAGAAATTAAATGTTCGCTGTCTCTGTTTTTCGACATCCACCATGTAAGGCGTAAGGGAGAATATTAAGAACCCCTTTGTCTGACGTTTAACCGTAACATACATTAAGGAAAATAGTTCACAAACAATGAAATAGATAACTGACCGAGTTTGTGATTTTCGTGCCTGGACATAATAATTTGTAATCAAATTAATTGTAGCTACTTTATGAATGGGTTTTTTATTATAGATTCTAGATCTAGTATTACAAACGTTATAGTTATACAGAGGCATGCATTATCGTTTGCATACATAACCAGCTATGGGATAAGTTTTAGAATATACAGACAACCATAATTAATTAATTATCCATACTCCATTTTAATAAAATGTGTATATTTTTGCAAGACGGTCCTCGGGCAC